TTATGAGTTGTTGTTTGTCTGTCGTAGGACTGTGTGGACATAGGGATTCGATCTGTAGACCTGTCGAGTAGAGGTCTTAGACAGCTCCAGAAGTAGTAGCTGTAGATGTCCCGAAGGGTCAAAGTCGTAGCTGCTACAGTCCTGAAGAGTCAAGGTCGTAGCTGCTACAGTCCTGAAGAGTCAAGGTCGTAGCTGCTACAGTATACACATCTAGATGTGTATAAGAGACAGCTCTATACTCCCACTATACCCCCTTCCATAACCCCCACATAGCCTATTTCCGAAACCAAAGTTTCTCAGCGGATTTGGGCTGTACTCAGCAAGCGCAGTACAGCCCCAAACTCAGATTTGAAAAAGAAATCAGTGGATGCCTGTTTTCTGACTGGCCGGCGGACACAGACCGGTCGGCCATACCAGTTGGCTGCAATTCGGTTGGCGGTCGGGGTCAACTGGTGCGCAACCCTGCTGTGAAGGTCGTTACTCCTCTGCTCTGTTCTTTGCCACCCCACATCCTTCCTCTGTGCCCCTTATCCCCCACCCTTGGCCTCCTATCAAACACGTCTTTCCATTTTATTACTTTCCCTTCCTTCCTTCCTCCCCTTGCGTATTAGTATTATATACATACGAATGAGCATCATTAAGAGAACAGACAAAATATAAGCTGAAGACCTGAAGAAAAATGAACAGGACTATACAATCCCCTTTACCCTGCCTCTCATAACGTGCAAGCATGTTGTCAAGGCACACAGGGGTGTGGGCAGCTGGTGCTCAACGATCATCCACGTGGCCAGCCTTGTACGTGAAAGGCACAGTAAGAGGGGAGCTGCAAGAAAAAATAAAATGTCAGGTCTCCCACAGATAGCTGAGGTAAACATAATCAAGAAAACGATGTAATGGATCTATTGTGTTTCATATTGCGAACTGTTTCATTGTTGGGTTGGCTCATCTCAAGTGTGTCACATTGTTTGTATAATGGTGGATTGGCTCATCTTAAGCATGCTTCATCATCTGCAAAAGAGGTTAAGTTGCTGTGATCTTGGATCGACTCATCTGGGTGGAACAGGGCATGTTGTGCTTAAAGTTCTTG